ACCCTAAACCCTAAACCCCTATAGAGCCCTTAAAGGAACCCTAAACCCTAAACCCTATAGTACCCTTTAAAGGGGACCCCTTCAAGGCCTACGGTAAACCCTAGAAGTCCCAGAGGCCCACGCCCTAACCCTTTAACCTCTGTGCATTCTTAAACCCTTAGGCGCGAAAGGCCCGAGACCCTAAGTTGCCACCTCTTTCGATTCCCAAACCCCACTGGACAAGAGTCTCTTGAGGTAGGTGTTTAGGGTTTAGGGTTTAGGGTTTAGAGTTTAGGGTTTAGGGTTTAGGGTTTAGGGCCATGTGTCCCAAACCCTCTTTGAACTACTAAGTTCCCTTTATGAAGCCAGGGACTAAACTCCGCGCCCTCAAGCCCCTGCATCAAACCAGGGTCTGCACCCTGACCCGTAGACCCTGTATTAGACGGGCTCTGGTTACACCAACCGTTCGAACCCTCTACGCGGTCCCAGACTTTTCTGGGATTGACGCCATCGTTTCGCACAGTTTCGATGCGGACATATTGGAATAGCACTTACCGTGCTATTGTTCGCAGCAGATCCCCAAACCCTAAGTTTTCTTGATCCTTCCTGAATTTTTATTGGATCCGTTCCGTCTAATTTTTTTGATGCTTTCTAATTTTTTTTGATCCTCCACCCGTATAAGACCAGGGTCGAAACCCTAACACACAAGAACTATATTGAACCAAGGTCTTCACCTAAACCTTAGACCCTAAACCCTAAACCCTAAGCCGTTGAACCAAGGTAGCTTCATCACGGCCTCGGGTGCGTTGTCGGTCACTAGTGGCAAGAAGACCGGCCGATCACCCAAGGCTGGTTTGGGGTTCAGGGTTCAGGGTTTAGGGTGGGGTTCAGGGTTTCAGGTTTTGGGTTCAGGGTTTAGGGTTTAGAGTTTAAGGATTTTGGGGTTTAGGGTTTAGAGTTTAAGCGTTTAGGGTGTAGGGTTTAGGGTTCAGGGTAGTACAAGGGTTCAGGGTTTGGCGTAATACAGGGCTGAAGGGTTTAGTGCTGTCCGGGTTTAGAGGTTGTAGTTTAGGGGCTAGGACAAGTACCAACAGTATTCCTTTTTGGTTCCTCTTGTACTTCTAATTATAGCATTGCCCCAAAACCCCATTCTGGCCTACCTTACGCGAATATCCGGGTTTAGGATCGGGCACTTATTGAGGGTTTGGGGCTTAGGCGGTATTTGGGAAGTTCTCTGAACTAGGACCCTTGTTGGGGTGCCTCCAAAACAGGCCGTGACGTCGCAATGTAGAGAATCTCCCATTTAGTGTTGTCCCTCTCAGCACAATTGCTACGACTGCTCGTGGACGTTGCAAGGCAGGACAATGTAGACTCCTGGTTATATAATTGACCCTATCTTGCAGGATCCATAGTTTATACATTAGATATTGCATATTATGTATTATGCGTTTTCAATTCTGTATCACATATTGAATATGATCTATGTTTATGTTATACCAAATATTACATGGTGATCATAATATGCATATATATAATATTATGTGTGTATTATATTGTACTATATTATTTTATACTGTATTGTATTTCATTATCTTATATTTTGCAAATACTGGATTAGATTAGATTACATTATGGTACATGACATGTTACTGTATGTTTCGAATATGTTATCTTGCATGTGTTACTCGACAGTATGAAGGCGGGGGTTCGTGAACCAGGGGTCTGCCTTATTGCATTCCCTGCCGCGGCTGTGGCCAGGACAAGCGTATCGTGGAGGAGTTTGACAGCGTGCGCGACGTTTGGTGGGGCAAGGTCAACATCAAGTTGGAGGAGGCCGGGTTCACGAGTAGCAAAGGAATGTCGGGTCGTTGCCGACATCACAGCAGCCTGGAGTCCGCTTTGCATCGAATCTTGCGCCACCTGAAAAAAGACCCGACGTCAACAGCAACGCACCTGCAACATGTTGAGGCTGTGTTCGAGATCAACCGGGAGCGAGCCGTGGACTACTTGAACACTCAGAAAAGGCTTTACGTTGTGGACGGCTTTGCAGGCTGGGGCCATCTTCAGTGAGCCTCACCATCCTCATGCTGATCCTTGTGCTCGTTTTCATTTTCGTCATCCTCCTCGTCATTATCGCCTTCGTCGGCGCTGTTTCGGCACCGTCATCGGCAGCGTTATCATTCTCTTAATCGTCGCGGTCATTATCACCGCAATTTCAACAGTAGCAGCAGATAGCAGCAGCTGTAGTCGTGGTCGTGATGAAGTGATCGCAATAGTCGTAAGAGACCTAAACGTAGTAAGTCGAAATCGTAGTACTAGAAGCAATCATAGGAGTAGTAAGAGCAATCAAGGACAGGAAAATTAAGCAGTTAGTAAGAAAAAACTACCAAGACTGGTGAAGGGTAGTCAGACCAGGACCAATACTAAGAAGAGAAGAGTAGCAACAACAGAATGACCAGCAGGACTTTAAATACTGAAGAGTGCCGTGGGCCGAATACCATTACCAACAGCAAGACTGGCAGGGCAAGTGAGCATAGTAACCAGCAGGCATAGCAAGACGACTAAGACCAGGAAGAATCCGGTGACAGTTTCTAGACAGCAGAAGTCCATTGCGGATGTTAACAGTGCTCACACAGTAGGCATCATCATATCCTAGTGCCAGGAACAGGCTAGGAGCAATCGCGCTGTAAGTGCTACAGTCCACAGTGGTCCTTGTGACAATGCCTGTCGTAACGGATGTACAAGATGTAGAAGTGATAGCAGTAGTCGTCGTCGTGGTCGTCGTGGTCTTCGTAGGTGTCGTAGTCGTCGAAGTCGTCGTAGTGGTAGTGGTAAGTGGCGGTGGGAGTGGTAGCGGTAGTGAGAGGGGTGCGGGTGCAGGTGGGGGAGGTGGTGGTCGCGGTCGTTGTCGTCGTCGTGGTCGCGGTCGTGGTCGCGGTCGTCGTCGTGGTCGTGGTCGTGGTAGTCGTGGTCGTCTTCGTGGTCGTGGCAGTGGTACTGGTGGTGGTGGTGGTGGTGGTAGCAGTAGTAGTAGCAGTAGTAGGGTAGGAGGAAGTGGAACAGTAGACCAGGACTTTGTAGATGCAGGTGTAGAAGTGGAACTAGCAGTACTTGTGGCAACGTAAGCAGACGCAGCAGTACCCAAGACAGTAGCAACAATAGGTGGAGCAGTGCTCGGTACAGTATTGATCACAATAAACACCGCAATCACGACAGTCACAATAATACGAGATGAGAGCACTAATCCGAGCACCTGATTAATAGG